ACAGTTATTTCTTGTCACTCCTGGGAGTGCTCAGGGGAACAGGGACTCTCCCAATGCCTGCTGGTCCCCTCTGACTAGTTTGTAAACGGCAACTAGATCCCTCCTAAGCTTTCTCTTGCGGAGGCTGAACAGGTTCAGGTCCCTTAGCCTGTCCTTGTAGGGCCTGCCCTGCTGACCCCTGATCATGCATGTGACCCTCCTCTGGACCCTCTCAGTGTTGTCCACATCACTCTTGAAGTGCGACGCCCAGAACTGGACGCAGTACTCCAACTGCGGCCTGACCAGTGTTGCATAGAGGAGGAGGAACACCGCCTTGGCCCTGCTTGAGATGCATCTGTGGATGCATGACAAGGTATGGCTGGGCTTCCTGACCATAATGTTTTGGAAATGAACTTGCCATTGATTTTGTATTAGCATAATTGATCTTTATAATTTGGGGGACATTTATTGACAGGTTCATGGGGGGGAGGGTCAGTGGGGATGGGGGTGTTGGAGGCCTAAAAATTGCTGAGTTAGGGTAGCGGTGGGGGGTAAGAAAAGCACAGCCTCAGGGCTGGGAAGAGCAGCTGGTCTTTCCCAGCTTCAGGGCTATGCTCCAAAAATGTACACGTTTGGTAGACTGGGCTAACCGTGCTTCATCAGACTTGGTACACTTCCTCAGGTGAATTCGATTAGATCAAGCTGGCCATATTTTGCCTCATCTAACCTTCCTAAATGTATATATAGTTTGGGAGTTAGATCAATCTAATCCTAGTTAGATCAATCTAAGTATAACATCAGCACATACTCAATGTTACTATGGAGAAGCACAGAAGGCAATGTGTGGGCTGCCCTCTTTACATGATTGTACTCCTGCCTTTGTGGTGTCATTTTGAAAAACAATAGGAATTGGGACATTCACAAACTTTGAAGGCCTAACAACCTCATGAGCAATCCATGAGTAAATAAATCAATTCCTGTCCAATGAAACAACTGGTAGGAAAGTATTAAGTTGAAACTCAAATAAGCTTCCTAGCCTTGATGTTACTTTCTCCCCATAAGAGGAACACACGGTTTCACAGTTTATTAACACTGAGACATGCTTCTTACCTTTACGATTTGTGGACTACGGGACTAAACAAAGCATATACAGTTTTTTTTCTAGTTATCTGGAGAAGACTTTGACACATTATTTGAATGATTTAACTGTAATGTGTTGTGTATTCTCAGATCCCAAATAAAGAATTATTTATATATACCACACAAAGATTCTTGAATAGTATTACTTGAATAATTTATAATCAGATGACATTTCTTAAGGTAACAATCATAATGATATGTTTATGGAAGTGCCTCACAAATATTAACTTAACTGAAATCTAGAATACATATAAAGACAATCTATAGTCTGTTTTTATATTAGAACATACTATTTCAGGATGAGATGTATGCAATTTATCAAATTACTAAACTGCACAGCTGCAGCAGCAGTACTATAACAGAAAACTAAATTGGCGTCTCATCTTTCAATTGAGGTTTAGTTTATTATTCTTTCCCAAAAGTCACTGCTCAGATTATCTGTTTGACCACTCATAGCCAGCTCTACTACCTTTGCAATTTTTCTTTACATTTTAAAATATTTGACCTCAACCACTTACACAATGTGTAATGATGACACTGAAAGAAACTGTGACTGTGTCAAATAACTTTGTGTTCAAGAATACAGCTTATTTTTTGTAAGCTGTATCTACCGTTTCTCTTATGAATTACTGACAGATCTCAGTATTTCACACAGTATCACATAAATAACCTATGCCATTTACTACTGTGGCACTTAAATGACTGACTCAAGATACGTAATTGAAACATGGTGAAATAGTAGAAAATTCATATGCACCTTTTCAAATATTCTCTCAAGAGGCCTTCATTACTACCTACTTCTGTATAAAAAGGGCTCAATCCCGTATTTGTTGCCTACCCAAAGCTCCCACTCAGTGGGAACACAAGGAATCCAAATCAGACCCACAAGACAAAGAATAAAGTAAATTGTGATAAACAAATTAGCTACTATGGGTTTTTAAAATAATGACCAACTCTGGTGTGTACTTGCACAGTTCTTTTTATATTTTGGATGCCCTATAGCAACCAAAATTAACGAACCCTTAAACCCTGGATTCCCTTGGAATGAAGCAGTGCCATTATTTAAGTCCATAGGTTATTAACACGAGGTTACCTTCTTCTTCTATTTGTCTCTGTAAAATATTTTCGTGCCCGACTTCGATATATTTTTTGATCCTCCCGTAACGCTTGACGCTCTTCTTCTAAATCTTTTCCAAGATGAAACGTTACGGTTCTATTAATATTTAGTTAAGGAAGTTATAGCTAAAATCTTGGAAATTCTTAGTCAGTATTCTTACTATGTACTAGATGGATTAAAAAACAAGCTGTAATTCTCAGGTATAGATTAAAAATAGGATTCTTTCTGTTTGCATGGATCTCACTGAAGGACTGGTGCTTTATTACGTACCTTTTTGAGAAGTAAATTGTATTCATGAGCAACAGAATGCAGATATAGAAAAGGTATTATCATAATGTACATTCATAAAGAGAGTAATTCCATCTCTCAGTTTCTATGACCATAACAAGTTGCTGGGGCTTTACACTTATCATTTAGTTAAAGCGCCCCACGCCACCATTTGAAGAGCGAAGACACTCAATACACGAGACACCAAGGCTGCTGCAGCATGCTAATTAGCCCATTCTAGTAGATTTGATTAATCTGCTGTAATTATAGACGTCCCACACGTCTACATACACCTTTTACTGTTTAATCTTATCTTTACATTGCAGATAATGAAACACTTGGGTCAGGAATGAAGAGTTTTTCTGAATCTTGTTCACAATACAATCAACAAGAGCAAATAAACTATAATGTAAAAATCACACACTGTCCTTATGATCCAACACTATCCTTATGATCCAATACTACAACAAAGGTTACATTAAAAATCCCATGACTAGAAAGAGAGATTAGAGTAGGGAAACAAATATAAGCTTTTTAAATCAGGCATATTTGGTAGTACCAAACAAGAGCATGCAGCAGCATTGGGACAAGCAAAGGGTACAAAGAGCATAGCCTGCCATCTAATCCTGTTCAGAGCTCAGTAACACAAATGCTGAAAAGCGCCAGCACCTGAGCTGCACATCACCACCACCACACATGGGTACGTCTTAGCGGTACAGCAACAGCAAAGTATTTCTCCAGCACAGCCAGCGTAATTCCCAGACCATCGCAGCTACAACCATCCTCTAAAAATCCCAAGGCTTCTTCAGTTCTCTTCCATATAGAGAGTAACTCTGTGAACAACATCAGGGGTCTGCAGGGTGTGAATCCTCCCAGCAGCACGCTGCATGCACACACTGCCAAGGCAGGAAGCCGGGTTGCCCTGTGAAGATGTGGCCCTCACTGGCCTGGCCCAGTGCCACATCCCTGTGAACTTGGTGCTACCTACAACATGCAATAATATTCCAGCGGGGGAACTGAAAACTCCCCTCATTTTAAGCAGTAAGGAGTGCAGTGGTGCCCAGGGCCAGATGGGCAGCGCCCGCTCTGCCTGGGGGCCGGGTCTGGAGGGTGCCCCGAGTGGGGGTATAGCTTGGTCTCTGGGGGGAAGGGGACTCGGCCTGGCTGCAACCTGCGCAGGGCTTAGGAGCACCTGTCAGAGGTCGAGCAGAGCCCCTGCCCCGACTGCCAGTCCCGTGCATTCA